GCTACGGACACCTGCGTTCCCAAGCCGGGGAACATGGAAAAAGGGTGCAATCCTCCGGCTCACCCTGGGCTGGCATGAAGCCAGACACACTTAAAGAAATGCGTACGGACATGATGTTGCCACACGCCAACCTAGGTATGACCGCCTAAGGGTTCAGGTAAGTTGATATCACCAAGAAACCTACAAGGTGACGACGGCTCGTGCAAGTCTGGAGGATTTAAAGTGAAGGGTGGTCACCAGCTGCGTCTTACTATGCGCCCAAGTGCACCGCAGCAGGTACGTTTACCTGATCGTCCAGTGTAGAGCTTCGTTGGCAGAGGCTACAGCTGGAGATCCCTCTGCCCCCCAATTGAAAGGAATCGCTGTGACTCCAAGGGTTGCACACACACACATACATTGCAAGGAACATATTGAAAGCCACCAGTGCAAAATTGCAATGAAAATTTGAATTAGCATCCCCCCACAATACTTCGTGTCAAAGAGGCTCTTGAGCCGGAAGAGAGGTGCGGAAGGCAGGGTATAGAAAACCAAGGCAAGGTGAAAGTAGATGGGAGGGAAACGGGCAGGACGGAAAGTGTAAGGAGAAAACAAATCAGAACAAAGGAAAGGAACGGATGGCTGATTGCCTCCACTCGAAAGCAGACATCAAATGCGCATAGGCCATGCCCAGGAGGTTTGTCGGAAGGAAATGGGCCAAGTTGGAATGCTTCACAACAGACAGATTGTCAAAGAGGCCCATGAGAAGAAAGGGAAACACAAAAAAACTCCAGAAAAACAAGGGAGGGAAACGATTTGCCCTGACATCTCGAACTTAGAATGTCTCAGAAAAGCTTTGGGGATAGCCATGGCAAACTCAAACATAGAAAATCCATGACTCAACACAACCACATGCAAGACAGGTCCCTAATGTTGAAAACAGCGGCAAAACACTATGAACACGGCATTTTTCTGTTACTTTCGGTTGCAAATTGTCTGAAGATATCACATTTTGAGCCGCCTCTCTTGACCCTTAAAAATTTCCGCCCCCAAGGCACACCCCTGCACCATTTGTTCAAAGCGTGGAAAAAACATATATACATTGAAATTTCTGATTTGGAGACATAATTTGTCAGTTGATCTCTGTGAGAACTTTGGCTGAGGTAATGCGGTTTGATGGACGGCTTCACGTTCCGCGGTGCCAGCCATCTCGGAGATGGGCACGCAGATGACTTGGTGAAGGTGACCTCGTCCGAAGATGTCGACCATGGCTTCATCTCAGAGTGGAGTCGTACCAACCTATAGGACTTTGGCAATTCAGAAGGACTTGCATATTCACCTTTTAACTACAACTAAGCAGATCGCAGGTTCTTTGCAGCGTGCGCTCCTTGCGCGCTTTTGTAGTTTTTGCTACGTTCCTGGACATGCCAGGATTCGTTGTGGACGACGAGCCAGCTGCGGTGGTTTCAGGCAAAGTAACGACCTCAGCTGATTGACACATGTCCAAATAACTATAGTGCTTGAAGCACACATCGAATGCAATTGAAATCATAGGCAAACGGAAGGGTAGTGCACAGACAGAAAGAGTTTTGCAAAAACCTATTCTACCAACATCGTGGAAGGTCCAGGACATTCGTGGAACCTGGGGCTATTCGTGGACATTTCGTGGAATGGTGGCCAGTAGGAACACTGACTGCAACAAAAACCCACAAATCTTTGCAGAATGCGCTAACTTCGTACAAGCCATTTTTGCTGACCCCCTTTCTCCACACACCCTTCATTTAGCCTTCATGAAAGGTTGAGAAGATACAATCAAAGCTTACCATCCTCGTCATTGCTTTGTATGACTAGATGAATCTGAAAGAAACTAGTGAAGTCATCCCTCAGTTTCTACTCCAAGGTGTTGCAGCAGCAGGAGCAAACAGTTGAAGAGTTGGCATCAGTTTGATCTGGAAGAGAGCCTGCCTCCCGCTACTACAGATGTGCGGGAACACTTCATGCCTGCAATTCTTGAGCGTGGGGAGTGAAGCTGTGTAGGATCTATTGACTTGCAGTGGCATGCCCCAAGCCATGGTCAGGCTTGGTATTCACCAATCAGAACATAGTCCAGTGCAGATGGCCAAATATGGCTCTCGCTGCCATTTCAACCACCTCTTGAATGGATTGAGAAGACGTGTGTGGAAACCAAATGAGCTGGACAGGACGGACAGGAAAGACTTCTTTATGTTGCAAGATGGGACAAGTGTATCCTGCAAGTCAAAGACAGTCAAAACATGTCAAAACAGTTTTTTTTCTTTCCCGGACCTTGTGAGTTGTCATCTCATCATGTACTTTGGGAATGGTCGGTGGATGCTCGATGTGGAATTAACCTCAATTGCCACTCTCACTTGGTCATCTCATTGCTGCCGCGATACGCCGCGATAGCTGTATAATAAAATGCATTCAAGCTAACCCACTGAGGCCATGACATCGATGGCAAACTGAGAACCCCCTATATAAGTTCAACATATTTTCACTTTCGGAAGTTTCGCTCACAAGAGTGAAACGACAGGATGAACCCATGAATAGGAGCAATGTTGTGGGACCCATTGGGATCCCAAGAGCTGACTCATCCTCCAACTCCAACTCGCTTCAATCAAACTCAGTTTCTACACTTCAATCAACTCCAACTCATCCTCGACTCCTCAACCCCGGAGACGCCTCCAAATCGCCGCCATGTCCGGCACGCTGGCGCGGCGGCCGGGTAGTGGCCCGCTGGAGCGGGGTCCGGGCTTCAGGAACTATGGACGACGGCAGGTGTGGCAAATGAGGTCATGTATATACTACAAAAATCTACAAGCATTTCATGCTCAGAATGTTCCAAGGCCAAGTGGATTCCAAAGATTTCAGGATTTTCCTGACGGTGTGCCCCATCTCCAGACAAAAGCTTTCTGTCTCCGAGGTGGGCAAGCTCAGCTAGCGTCGCAACCTTGGAGTTTGTGAAGAGACCTCATAATGTGGGACTTTGAACGTCCAAGGAGTCCCAGGCCACTGCAATAGTTTTTGAAGTCGTGCTGCTGAGGCAAATGCAGATCTTCAGTGGTGGAGTCTCCAGAACTGAAAGGGCTTTGGTGGCCACCCTGACACGATTGGAATCGATTGGATGATGGAGTGCTTGACCGAAGGGTTGCAAAAATAACAGCTCGGGGCGGCACTGCGGCAACATGCTCTGGGTACACTCTTCTCACTGCCTGAGGGTTTCAGAGCTTCGAGACACCCTCACCACTGAAAACCTAGCTTTTCGAGTTGGTTGCCGTACCACAGAGGCTGGCTAGGAACCTTTGTGATCAGAACCTAATTACTTGTGGTCGGTGTGTCATAAATTAAGCGCGGATTTGCGACTTCGTCCTGTTTTGCTTGTCCTTCATGGTTTTGCTCAGGCACGTACCGTTTCCGGTGTTGAATTGTGACATTTTTGAACGAACACAACTCACAGTGAGTGCATCAGGCTGGCACGGATGGCAGTGTGGAGCAGGCACGCTGAGATGATATCGCTCCCAGCTTTTGCTTGGTTGGTCGGCCTTTGCCAGGCTAACAAGCAGCTGTTGCTGTTCATGGACACGCCCTTTGCTCACTTGGACACAAAAGGATTGCTAGAGTCCTTTGATATCTATATACTATAGAGGAAAGAGAAACGCACTTCAAGTGGTGCAGAGTTTTGCATCGGGGGCGGATCCACGGTGGATCATGTACAGCCAGGCTCACAGGAATATTTATTGGGTTACACAGTCTGTTGCAGTATTCCCAGGCCATTCCTGATTCTGCTGGCATCTCCGACTTGTGATAAATGTTGAAGTCACACCAATGCATTTCTGGAGTACAACAGCTAAAGCAAAGTGATGCCTTGCAGGTTCAAGACAACATCACCAAGGCAAAGCATCCGTGTGGGGAGTGCCGACACGGTCAAAATGGCGCCGTTGCTCAAGGATTAAATCGTTGCAACAATGTTTCTGTAGAGTCGGTTGATTTGTACGGAGTTCTTTCCAAAGATTGGTTGTGGAGAAGTTTGCCGGAAAGGGGTAGGCTTGTCCTGTTGGTGCTTCTCTTTCCCGATCAAGCTTGAGGCTTCAAGTGACAAGGGACAGGGTTTTACAAGGTTATTTTATGCAAGCACCAATAGCCAATAGTTGCCAATTGTAGGCCCCCAATACTTGTGACTTCTTTTCCCTAGATGACCACTCGCCCTGAAGGTTCACAGACTGGTTGCAAAGCATGTTGGATGAACGCTTGATATTTCAGATGACCAATAACATGTTTCAGGGCTGATGGGAAATGGGAAGATTCCATCCTTCAAAGTTGCCCCATGCCATATATTTTCCCATTTGGTAGTGCACGGTGCTCAGCCTTGCTGCCGTTCCTTGATCCTGCAATCATCTATAAGCTGGAGCCATCAGCCCCTGATGTTCGCGCGCCCCCAGGCTGTGCGAGCCTTTGGTCCAACGCCTGGGGGCAAGTGACTCCTGGCATGTTTCGATGATTCTTGATGGTTTGTTTGTGATTTTAGGGAGATGGCCATGGCAGGCCAGGAAGCAGTTTCCAATGCTGGCATGAGCCAGTGAGATTTCCTGAAACATCAGCTGGGTGGAATTGGTATGAGAACCACTGGTGGTTGCAACAGAACTGTCCCCCCAAGAAGCAATTGTTCCCAAGACACAATAGGATGCACGATGCATTTAACACATCTGCCAGGAAGATGATGCAAGCTGAGAAGCTTGCGGCAGAGGAAGCCATCCGGACGGGGCTCTACGGTGTTTGAGCCTCGTAGGGCTGACTGTGGGCTGGAGTGATCTTGATTTGAGGATGCTGGCTTCCACTCAAGAGGTACAATGGAAATGCATCTTTTGAGCCACAAACGGTCTGTGTACAACAGGAACCATAAAAATTGCTGTGGATTTTTTATATTGTAGTTCTACATGTCTAATGATCCCATAAAGCTCTGCATCTGGACACTTGCTGACTAACTTCAACACACAGAAACTCACAATGCAACCTCGTGGCCTTCGCCTACTTGTTTGCCCATAGCCACCCCTGGCCAATCAACAGTCGCAAGCTGCAGCTGACTCGATGAATGTCTGCCATGGCATGGAGGGCTGCAGCTCTGCTCTCGTCAGTTGAGGCCCTACGCCTAGGCGACTGGTCACAGAAAACCTTGACTTTTTCAAAATCCAGGGAATGAATTGGAAAGAGTAAAGGTGCCAGAAGGGGTGCCTTTTTTATCCTTTTTTTGACGGCACTAGTACTAGTAACTGAGTACCAATGAAAGCAAGGAAAAGCACTACATATACATCATATCGCTGCAAACTTTCGAGGCATCATGGTCACGAGCCGCTGGTCCGCCTTTGAACGTCGTCAGCTCCTACGTCATGCTGTGTGCTTGGCTCAGTGTGGTCTCAGCAAAGCACAACTGCTGGGAACTGACATGTGCACAGCTTAAAAGAATGGAACATACTCTGCAAGTCAAGAATGAGAGGGAGGAGATCCTGAAAACTCCACAACCAATACAGTAATGTAACTAGTGACTAGTGTGGATGGGTATGATTTGGACACCTTGCTAGCCACCCCATCAAACAACATTGCTTACGCACCAGAGAAAATTTGCAGTTGCCCCAGGGCGAAATGCAAAGAAGGCTTGCAGGGTGAGATTGAGTTGCTGTTCTTCATGGCCAACCCTTCAGAGGAGCACGAGGCGCCGGTGCCGACCAGGACCATTTGGAATTCAATTGTCAGTGTGAGCTGGTCTGGTGTGTCACAAATGTTTGAGGGCACCCAGCATGGGATACCATTGGGGAATTAGGAATTACTACACCCAGACTCTAGATTCTCTAGATGCATGGTATGCATGTTCATTGCTAATCCAAGTATGTCATTTTGGTCAATCGACAACCAAAAACCACGGGATTCAGAATATCTTCTAGTATATAGCAACCTCAGCTCGCGGCAGAGATGTAACGATTCCTTGCCATGTTCTTTGGTCCGTTCTGTTTTCTTTGAGCAATCAAAACGCCAACCAGGTGATGATATCGGATGTGTTGAAGAGACTTGTAAGAACCTGAGAACTTCTTTTTCTGAAGACGATTAGGAGGGGTCCCAAGCCAACAAACAGCAACCAAGCCCTCAAAAGCAATAGACATTTCAAGAAGGCTTCAAGTCGGCCAAGAGGCTTGCATACATTCAAGCTCAAAGGCTGCCTCTAGAAAATGGCTGACATTGGCGCGATCCAGGCACAATAGCAACGTCATGGACACACAAATGTCGGCGCAGATGTCTAAATGGGCGAGGAAATGTCTCACATGCTCAGCTCCAGACTTACTGATATGTCAATAAGAGTAGACCGCCTGGTTGATCTCCGCACTACTTGTAGGGTACAGGCGGTATGATCCCAATGTGCCACTGCAAAAAACATTTCTGCTAGAGCGATCAATAATTTCTTTGGGCCTTTGCGAGCTTTTCAGCGGCCTCATTATTTCTTGAACTCTTCTGAAACAAAGAAGATTCTTCAGAGAAAAAGTGACGTTTGTTGGAGCCTGGGTGGAGATGGCATTGTTGCACAATGCGCAGGTGAGGCGAGGTGAGGTGCCAGTTAACAAGGAAGAGAGAATTACAGTAAACTTAACTCACAGGAATCACGCAACTTGTCAGGATGTTTTCTTGACTTCAAGATCTCTCCAGAGGTAGACTGGCGCATCAGTTGGGTCCTGGGGCTGAGTTGAATTTTGCTCGAGGCTGCGGCGTGGCAGGAGGAGTCCCAGTATGGAGACCTTGTGGAGGCATGGAAAAAGTGGCGATTTAATTGAATACCAAGTTCTATTATACTGGTGGTGCACCGAATTTAACCGGAGCGGATACGTGAAGCTGTTATATATGTATATATAATTGAACATAGAAAACCAAATGGCACAGGATCCAAGAATCACGTTTAGAATTGGTCACTTGGAGCTGGCACGATTAAACATTGCTCGCAGTCAGGTGGGCGGCCCAGACAGTGATCCACCAGTGATGAGAGATGTAACGCATCCAGGCTTGGAGTGGCAGCAACGTTTGTTTTTCATTTGTGTGAAGTAGAGATGCAAGGGAGCCAGATGGGATGGGACCCTTGTCTTGAAGCTAGGTTCCATCCTTTCTTGACTTTGTTCGCTCATAGAATCATTTGCTCAGCAACAAAAACCGCAAGCCTGCTTGTTTTATGGAAACCAGGTGTGCCCTGCACAGACGCCTCTGGGTTGTCAACAACCAAGGTACGTGCTCGACAGGCTCACAGCGGGGGAGACGGTCGAGATCTTCAAGTCGTAGTACTGGTAGTTGAAACCAGGACACTTGGCAAGCTGTCATGTGAAGGTGGCTGTAAGCAGCTGGCTAAGCGATGCATTGGCATGGAATATATATCCCCTTTCGATCATTGCCAGGAAGAATTGGCGTTCAAGCAAACACGCACTTACCCACGCCTTGGACTACCATGCTGGGAACGAACTTAGGTGCTCGGCATGTGTGCAACAGCCCGGTACCATTCACCGTTCACCCCTGACTTGCTTAATTTCTACACAAAAGGTACTATATAACTGAAGCCTGATTCTTTTCAGAGGCTCCTTTTGACAAGAAACGGTTGGCGTGATCCTGTTTTGATGGGATAGGGTATGACCGCCCTTGAATTCATGGATGTGCCTACTGGGTCCATACTTTATCATTTTGCATACTCTTGCTCAGGTCCAGTCTGGTTGACTTTGGCGACGGTTTTGTGTTGTTGACAGGCCGTGTGCTCGCACCTACCGTCTCCTGCATGGAAGCAAGTGGCTTGCGGAGCACAGGCCAGGGATTGCCTTTTTTTTTCGCAAATTACTGTGCAGCCTGTTGAAGCAGTAGAATCGTAGACCATTTGCCTCGGAAAATCAAGGAAGGCTCGGGAGCCAAGCCTGCCCTTCGCAATGTGTTAGAGCTGTGACCGGCTGTGACCCGCCTTTGGGTGAGAATGGAATGCAGAGATCTGACAGGCCAAACCATGACTATGTCATGTACCTAGATGATGACAGTTTCTTGGCACAGCTCAAGATGACTCCTGCGGCGCTGCAGCAAAGGTTACTGTAGTTCATGTTGTGTTGCACGGCACAGTGGGAAACCATTCCGTCCTACGATGCAGACGTCATTTACGGACAGTGAAAAGGTGGTACTATGCACCAAGTAATACAAAGTAATTATGTACAACCGCAGCAGCCTCCTTCACCTGGGGCATGCGCAACGAGGCTTCCTGAATCTACCGCGGTTGATGGCACACTTGGAGCGCCAAAATTCTGACTCCTTGGCCATGGGCAACTTGGGCGCTAAGGTTTGAGATCCTGAAGTTTGTTTGGGGGTAGCCATGCCCCAAACCCTAAGGGGTATAAGACCCTAAGGCACCAAGGCTGAGGCCAAAGAGGGGTCGGTGAGGTCAAGCCATAGTTGCTTGCGAAAGTTGGACACGGGTCGGGAACGGGTAGGCCTCTCGGAGTTCGGACAAGGGAAGTGCTCAGTTCATGTGCATTTCGTTGCGGCGCCTTTTGGACACTGGGATCACTGAACACATCTGAAAACAACGTTCTTTCATTTGAGCTGACAAGCAAGAGGCTGTGTTTGCTAAGGCTGCTAGGTATCAGTATTAGGAAGGCAAACAAGGCACAATGAAACTGACACATTATTCATTTGTTTGAATAAATTTCAATATCTCCATGAGATACACCACATGAGAGACAGGGATGCCTTTCCCTTTGTCAAGGCTCAGACTCAGTGTTCATGGATTTGTGGGCTATACTAGACCTGCAGCTTGACTCTGATACCAGGCGTCAGGATTGTATCCCCGGTCAATGAGAGAGCGTCAAGTTGTAAGTGGTTGCAGCTAAGGTTTTGTCATGGAGACTGAGCTGGACTGGTCACAAACTCATGTCCCTCAGCGAGCACATACGAAGCCAGAGATACTGCGTACATTCTTTTGTAGGATGGGTGTGTGTCAAGTACCAGGTGACCAGGTGGGTATAACATGCCCTTTTTGGACAGAGTGAGTATCCGTTTAAGGCTTTCAAGTGTCCGCGGCAAAGTTACATTTCAGTACATTTCTGCATGCAGTTTTTGTGGCATGTTAAGGACCAGGCAACGAGGCAACCAGGCAATTGTGCCTTTTTTTTTCCGATGCTTTTTCCACTATGTAATCACTGCAGTTTTGAACAACACTTACCGACATCTAGTGTTTGATGAGGGACTTTAAAGCCAGTTACTGAATGCTTGATTGGTATATATATATATATACAAGTTTCTTATTTTGCTAGTGGACTTGCAACTGCACAATCTTGAGTTCTTCCTGAGATTGTGAGTCATTCATTCCAGCAGACACTCTTAATAGCAAACTTAAGAGAGGCGGTGTTGCTTTCAGAGCATTTGTTTCTGTGGAATCTTTCCCGTTTGCCAGAGTGCTTTGACCTGTTGAGGGGCAATGCGTGACAAGCCGACGAATGATCAACAATTGTTTGGGTTACGCATCATGCGAAGTATTTTGTACATAACTGCAATAAGACTAATAAGACGAGTTACTGGTTGTCACAAGCTGTAGCAAGCGTTGGCTCTGCCGGATTCATTGTCCGTTTTTCATTGGATGAACCTTCTTAACATGAGTGAGATTCCTAACAATGAGGGTGGGGTCATCTCTCCATGTTTTCTTTTTTTTTTGCAGGGGCTTTCTTGGTACCCTTAGTAGTCTCTTCTGGAATTCATTTCATTTGCTTTCTTTCTGCTTTCATTGTCCTTTCATTGTCCTTTCATTTGCTTTCAGATTGCTTTGAGCTTGCTTTGATTTGCGTTCATTTCCTAGGCCAGGAGCCAGAATAGGGAGAGGGCCTATATTTGTGGACCTCTTTTGTATTGTGGATCCTGGGCACTTGTAAGGGGTACCCTTTGCAAGACTGTTGAGGGGAAGCTTTCATAACTAACTGGTGTTAAATAAACGCCAGTGGATGTGGATGTTGAAAGCTTTTGGATTTGCAAGAACATGTTTCAATAGACATGTACAGGAAAACGTTATAGAGCAAGCCAGGAGCCAGAAAAGAATCTGCAACACACGTCTAAAGCTTTCTGGATGAGATTTGGGACCTGAATCTTTTCTAATTATGGATCCTGCTTGTTGTATCTTCGATCTTATTATACCTCCAACATTTGGGGCGGTATATAATATACAGCAGACTTGCATTACAAGTATTATATGCTGCATATAATACTTGTGGCTTACCCACATATATACATATATAATACGAATTAAGTATTGGCTATGAACTGTGACTGTACGTATTGTCCTTCCTTGATTGAATGGGCCATCGTGGATCGGAGCCTCCAAACAAGCAAATTCCCACCAACCAGCAGACACATGGAGCCTTAGCCTTATTCATTTGTGGAATGCCTTCGTTGCCGAGGTGTGTGAGCTTTGTAACCCTTGCGAGATGTGCCGGAAGGAGGAGTGGTGGCACTGGTGCGCTTTTTGGAACAGTGGAGTCGAATGGCAGGGTCTCCCTAGATCGAGTCAGTCCTTCTGTGGACATTAACACTTTCTGGTATCCTGTCACCAGCTTGTAGTTGGGATCCTTCAACTTGTTTGGTGCCAGGCACTTGGCTGGGTTCAGAATTGCACAGAATGGTCATGGTCGCCTTGTTATCCCTTGTTTGGATCTGGTGCTATGCGCAGGTTGGACAATATATGGTGTGGGACCGTGGGAAGGGACGGACTGGTCATTGGTACTTCAGGCTGACTGTGATCTCACCTCACCATACCTCAATCTCCTGCATTCCCCAACACAAAGTGCTCTTCGGGTGAAGCTTGGGTATATACGTTATTTTTTTTTGTGAAAGGGCCAACTGATGTGAAGATTTGCCACGGCTGTTCGCCCGAGCGGGCTGCAGGAGAGCCTTAAAGCATTCTGCGCCCAGTTTCAGAATGTGTCAATGGGCGGCCTCTTGTCCAAGAATCCGGAGACGTGACTTGGGGGGTGACTGAGGAAGAACTCTGGGTTTGTGGGTGATCTTGGGGTGTGAAGGGTACTGTAGAACGGAAGATTTCCAGGTAGTGATGCATTTATGAACATGTGGCCCCATAGGAATAACTACCTTAGTGACCAGAAATTGTCTTGCAAACACAACTCAAATTTGGACCGGGCAGGCCAGGAGGCAAAAAAAGACATGTCTTAGTTCAGCATTGCGCCTGGCTTAGCACTGGTCAACAAAACTTCTTTTTGTTGATGTTTCAGAAGGGTTGGTTATAAGAAGGTACGCTCTCCGGCACACTGCTTGAGTTTTGTTTGTCGTTTTTTTGGATTGGGCAGACTGCAAGTTAGGAGCCTTTCTGGCCAACAGGTATTTGTAACCAAATCCATCTTCTGGTTAGTGTATTGGTCCTCGATTCATGTTTTGTATGTTTTGTTCAGGTTGCATGATGGCTATTGAGAACTGTGAGATTTTCGACGGGGCAGACACTTGGATTGGAGTTTGGGTGAGTGAATTGCAATTACGGTCCTTTTGCGGCTAAACGTGTTCGAACTTAGTAGAGCGTAACAATGCTGCTTTACTAGTAGCGACGGGCCTGTGCGCCTGATGATGTCTGCAGTAAAGAATACGTTGCTCTACAAATTGTCCATGCTCACAGGTTTTGTAGTCTATGCCTTTTCCGTAGTCCGACAGGGTTGATGTACCATTTCATTCCGACCAGCATGGGATTGTTCAAATAGAACTCGAATTGGACAACTCGGATTTGATCAAAGTGTTCATTGACAGAATGTTCCAGCTTGCTCTGGCGATGGAGTCTCCAGAGCCGCAGTTCTGAGAGCAAACGTTGCTGTTGGGCTAGCTGATACATTTTGAGAGGCTACACTTTTGGCTAATGCGAAAGACACCACTCCCAAGATTGGGAGATAGGCCCTTTCCAGGGTCCATGGATCCGGATGGTTGCCGCAGCAGCATGCATCTCATCATCTCAACCAAGTTGTTGAATTGGACCCACTGAACACCAGATTCAAGGCTCGAGGTATTTCAGGACTGATAAGTAGAAACTCTTGCCTGTGACTTTGTGAACTGATGCTGAGAACCACACAAGTTCAGAGCTTCCGCAGTGCATCAACCAGAAGCTACAGGCGAGCAGCGTTGAACAGAACGTGGAAACCTCACAGAAGAGTCAGCAGGGGAGCGTTCATTATGTTGCCATTATTATATGCAGACCAGGTTGTTCGGCACGGCTGCCGACAGAAACTTGCGCTTGGTTTTGCTCAATCTTCCATACTTGCTGTGTGTTACTTTCAGCAGTTCCCATAATGCCATAGAACTCCATCACTTTACCCTTTAGACCAACAGGAGATCCGCAAGGTCTCTCGGTACTTTGGCGCGAAGGACTGAACACTCCGCTGCCGCTATGTGGTGCAGGGTTCAGTCAGTCATGTTCTTTTGCTCCCTGTGCACTCAGCAGAGTCTCACCTTTGACAGTCTATCGATGGGTTTCGCTTTTGTGCAGGAAGAATATGTACATCAACTGCATGTAGCAGTTTCCCTTTTTTTTGTATTCTCAGGTTTGAGGCCTTCGTAGGTTGTTCCTTGTTGTTCCTTGGTTTGATCGCACACTGGGGAGCATACTGTGCGTGGATGTTCAGTCAAAGAAACCAGAAAGATTATCCAATTGAATGCACCAATCGAGTCAACCACCCACACAATTGAGTCTTCTCAGGCTGCGCCACGCTGGTTCCTTGGCATGGGCTGGGTATTTGGAAGAAGGACCGAGGGTGCCTTCTGCACTAATGTCGACGTCCCCCCTTCAAGGTCAACAAGGTTTGAGATTGGAGGTATTGGAGACCACGTCCCCTTCATAAAGGTGATGACCTGATGGTGGATGATGGATGACACATGAGCATGTGTCCAATCAGTGATTTGATTTGGAAGGTTTGGATGAATGGGGAAACCATGGCAGTCCATTTCTTGAGACTAGTGGGACATTATTTGGTGATATTTTCTTTCATTGGGATGATTTGGAAAAGGGTGAGGAACACTTGCAGTGGAAGACAACATGGAGGCCAAAGGGTGGGCCTGATTCATAGGGGAGGTGCCCCTCACTATTAGAGGGGGGTAGGCACTGTGTGAGGGGTACCCCTTCTGAGCTTGAAAGCCTTAATATTTTGATGGTGACTTAATCAGGAAAATGAATGAATTTTGCTAGAGAGTTTGTAGGGACTGTGGAGACATGCTGCTTGGGAGAACATTGGTAATCAGAATGGTTGGTAGCATGAGCCTTCAGCAGAAGCAATCAGAAGGTTGGATCAAAAGATCAGTTTCACCATTGGATGAGTTTCACCATGGGAAGATATTGGATGCTAGCTGAAAAGAGAAGCAACTTGATTGCAACTGTAAAACAGTATACTTGATTGCAACTGGCGGCAGATGGGCTTCATTAATAGGGAATGTTTTTGCATTTTTTTTTGAGGGAGGCCAATGTAAAAATTAAGGCGATAAATTGGTTTAGTGTTGGGGGTCGAGATGGGCTTGACGAATCAGGGGATGTTATTCAATCCTATATGCGCATTATGAACAATCACAAAGCTGTGATTTGGATTGTTCAAACACAAACACCACATTTCTTCACGCAGGTCGGATCCATGCATGGACTGTCAAAACTCAGCATCACCCAGAACTGGACCCTGGAACTTCTCCATTTGCAACATTTCTCTCCGCGTTTGCGGTATTATGCTTGAATACATTCCGCAAACAGTTAATAAAGCAATGGCTAGGCTCCCCTCATTTCGTTCAAGGGATGCAATTTATGACATCCCCTTGTGCCATTGTGTGCTGCTCAGACGCGCATCAACCACAATCCCCGGCTCACTGGTGTCCTTGGCAGGATCGTGCGCTTTCTTGGCCGCAATGCGCACCGCTTGAAGAGCAAAGGGGCTGCAGATGTCCCTCGACCAGTTGGAAAGTTTTGGGACCCCCACGGTCTTTTTTCCAACCCTACTCAAGCCTCTCTTTGACGTGATGCGGAGGTGTTTTGATGAGAATCTGATGCTCTTGATAACAAACACATCATCCACACATGACATATGCAAACTGTTTTTTTGTCAGATCAGCTTTGCCTTGCACCGCTTTTCTTGACTGCTCAGGTCTCGCTAGGCTTCTGGCTCGCGCCGTTGGAAGGAGTGCGATTTGTAAGTTTCTTGGCAAGAAGCAGTCAGAACTTTACGGAACCAATTGAGAAACAAATCATGACTGGTGATGAGTGAAAGAGTTACTAGATGTTACTATATAGCTGATGTAATATTGGATATGCTTCTTGTTTCTCACAGGATGAGCTTGCTAGGTCCTCCTGTGTAATGGATAAAGGGGGGATATCAGCGAGTCTCCGCAGACTGAGACGATGCAGATATGGCTATAGTAGATATGACTAATGAGATTCCTCAAACAGTGGCCAACATGGTATGAATGGATCCTTAGGCATGAATGAAGGCTTTTTTTCATGACCATCCAGATGCGAGGACGCTGGTGGCCGGGCAATGCTTAGCATGTCGGCCCCATGTGCATAAGCATCGTAATCAGTTAGGCCCGTTTGACTCCTTCCAATGATGCTTTTCCCAGCAGAAGTTTTGAGTGGCCATGTCGGCCGAAACGAGAGCGATTACAGTCGCTATGATAGCCCTTTGACCGGTTAAGTCCAAGTATTAGGCGAGTATTAAGACCATTGGGAACACCAAATGGTAGACACTGAGGAGGATCAAATAAACATGGCTGTGAGATAATGCAAAGAGCCATGCACTGTGAGCAATCGCGACTGAGTTTCTGAGTTGTTCTTGATAGAGATTATCTATTGAACAAATGCAGATTGGCTGTGGCAGGTCCTGGAGTACAAACTACTTTAAATTTTATTTAAACTTTATATAAATATTTGTACATCCAATATAAGGCTACCTTCTGTCCTCTCTCTCTCTCTCTCTGGTTGCCTGCAGGAGTACCTTCTCCAAGGCATGCACTGATCGAAGTGTCCTGGTTCACAGGAGAGCTTCCTTGTTGTTTGTACAACTATATAAACGTGATAGACAAGCAACCTTGGATGGGGTTGGGAAAGGCATTTGCTTACTTTGCACGCCTTTGCGAAGAGAAATCGTGAACTCTTGGGAGTCTTAACTCACATCTTGCTAGGATGAACACAAGCCGTTGGAGCGGATTTCAACCTGAGACCTGCGAGCTACTCGGCACCGAATCCAAGAGCTGCTCAAAAATCCAATCTCCCAGCCACATGCCATGGTGTGGGTTCCACCAACTTGATTCGCAGAGATGTTATAGCCTCGCAGAGATGTTCGCATCGGCTTTTTGGTGTACCAACTGTTTTAACCCATCCTCCGCTGTTGATTGGCTGGTGGAAGTCATGAGGTCCATGAGCTTGTGGGCCCGGAGTAGGGTTGGAAAACTACTCTTTCCATCTCTTTCCAGCTCTTGTAAGTTTGTTTGAACTTACACCAGAATTGAAATGCCAGGCCAGAACATCCTATTGAAACTCATTGACCTGCCCCTAGCCTGAATGCCTGAGGATGGTGTGCTGAGTTAGCGGGACCAGTTGTGCAGTTTCGCGATTGTCCCTTCCTGCAGCTCATTCCACCCACGAATGAACCTCAGCTTATTGGTTGATGCAAGCGAAGCCTTTTTTCAGCAATTGCCTTCGTTTTGATTCTTTTGACATGTTTTCTTGAAGGATGATTCCTTCGTTGTGAGTTGTAGTTTCCTACCTTTTGGAGGGGAGGCTTGATCTTGATGAAACTCCCCGAGTTTTGGACTGTTGGTCGAGCCAATGATAGCACACTTCCTCCTTTGGCAACAGTCGGGCTTTTCTAAAGCAAACACTCGTTTGTAACACAGGTAGTTATCCAAGACTGAACGGAATTCTCTTCCAGAAAGTGTGCATTGACCTGTTCAGTTCAGCAAACACAAAACATGGATTCCATGGTGGCTTTTGGCCGAAGAACAAGCGAGCAAGGCCCAAACTATCAAGGGCAAGGCAGGAAGATTAGGCAGTGAGTTGTTGAAAAGACAATACCGCCACACCCCACTCGCCAGTAACAACATTTCAGCATCCAAAAGTGTATGGCTTCGCCACGGCGGTCAGGTATGGCCTGGCGTTTTGCATGACGTTGGGAGACAACACCTGCGCTCTTGCTCTCCTGGAATCAAGGCAATTGATCTTCAAGTCTTCAACTTCTTGGAGGACGTGGGATCAGGGTCTTGAACAGAACTTTGCTTTCACAAATGTTCGATGGTTAAGGATTGTGGTTAAAAGCAATGCTTTTCACGACGAATCCCTGGAGGATGCGTCACAACTTGGAGCTAAGTGAGAGGCCCACAGCTCCGGCACACGTGGCACAGCCATGGACAGGGAAGTTGATTGAAGACGGAAGCGCCTGACAGCCAAAAAGAAGTGTTTGGCAAGCTTGCATGGGGAATGAGAGGATGTACAGGAAGAATGTTCTAAGGGATCCGACAAATCAGAGTGAAGGCCACAGACCCAAGGTGTCAAGATGTCGCAAGTAGTGGAACAAAACTCACCGGTTCGACCCTTCAGGAAACATATACATATTACATATAATTTATATCTAAGTTTGACTTAAGTTGACCCAGTCACAGCATTTGGTGAGCCCGGATCAAGCTTCCGCATCGACCCCAAACAGTGCGCCAGAAGGGAGGCAAAGCTATGTTTTACAGGATTTATATTTGTGGTGCTATAACTGTGCGACCCGAAGAATGACTACATCTCACCATGCCCTACTCTTGCCAGCACTTGTTCAGCTGGTTTGAATTCATAGCAGAACATGTTCTTTTCAAAAGCACGCCCTTGGGCACTTTCGGAGGTGCATCTGTGTACTTCGACAAATGCAAGTGAGGTTGCATGTCGGAAGGCATATGTATATGATTGTATATGTCTTCTCGTGCGTGTCAATGCGGGGAGACAAAAGGGAAATCATGTTGTCATGACAGCACACGAGCAGAGACAGGAAGGGCGGAGACATGTGGGGAGACAAAGGGGAAGTCATGTTGTGACAGGAGACGAAGGGAGACGCGGGGGGAAGTCATCTCGGGACACGATGCAAGAGAACCAATCTGGAGACAAAGAGGAAATCATCTCATGACAGGATGCCAGTAGGGAGACAAGAAGGGACAGGTGCGTGGAAGACAGAGCGGAATCATCCTAGCCCATCCAGAAGAACTACGACAAACAAAGGGAGAGAGAGCAGAATCATTTCAGCCCAGCATCCAAGAAGAGCCCTGGGAGACAAAGGGAGGCAAAGCAGAATCATCTCAGCCCGGCATCCAGAAGAGCCATGGGAGACAAAGGGAGACAAAGCAGCCCAGTATCCAGAAGGGCATAGCAGCATCATTTTGGTCAAGGATCGTTCGTTCCTATACAAGAATTGAAAACCCCTCTGGCAAAGCTACTTGCGGAATAAACCTTTGTGCCACATATGCCGTGGTGGATAGGGAATGCCATGCCGCTGGCTCTAGGTAACCAATGGATCCAAGGACAGGTGTGGAGGTTCATAAGGTCTGGCCCGCATATTGTAGTGGACTCCTTGGCAAAAACCTAAGGTCTGGCGGAATGCAGCAAGTGGTCATGACTTCTGTGGTCGAATAGGTCCATCTTCCAGGCCGCTGGGAGTGTCCGGAACCGGGGTCACCCGGAAGGGGGCAGCCTTTCCACAAAGAGCTAGAAGCTAGATTGGAAATTCACAGATCTAACTACGGGTAGATCAATATGATTATCATGCGAATGCAACTACTGTATTTCGTTTGGATAGTAGCTGTTCAATGACGGCTCGCATGGCACAAGCTCCGCTTAACTAGTGTTCAGAGATATCCCAATCCTTAAAGCAAAGTCTGTGGGCATGTCGGTCAAAAAAAAACATGCAACACCACGCTTTGCGAACATACAACCGTGCAGTATCGTATTGTCTTTATTCCCCGTTGCGAACATACCATTTTGAGCCCCGCAACTCATGGATCTTGCAAAGATATTGCTTACGTCAACCTTTTGCACGAAGAGGTTGAGGTGAGGACTAGGGCCACTAGGGGTTATGGGAGCAATTGTAAGCGAGAAACACATTTTCCAAGGTCACTTGCAATGGGCGCACCTTGGGGGCCATGCCTCTTGTAAGGGCACATGGGGTATCCACCCAGGGCCTGCAAAGATCCGGTTCAGCGCCAGAGAAGTTTGCTTCGTTTGAAGGGAATTACATACAAATCAGTTTGTTTGTACATGTTTATGCTATTGTTCAGGTTGTGGTTGGGTTTTAACAGTGGAGATGTTCCCAAAGCAGCCCACCAAAGCATGCATCAATTCTTTCCTGATGCACAACTGCCATACAGGCAACAGTTCCCGCAAGAGGGCCCTGAAGCATTTCACTTGTGCTTGTCCATATGTGCCTGTTGTGTACCTTTTGTGCCAGAAGTTGAAACGAGGCCTTCCTTTCCCTTCTTCCACAGTCGGCGCCTTCCTTTGACCAGCCTACAGGTGTTTTTGCGGTCATGAGTACAGCAGCCATGTCGCTTTGCTGGCAGAAGCAGGGTCTTAAGCAAGTTTGCTGGCTTCCACCACAGCAGGTTAAGGCCCTGGGCCCAATAGTTCAGAGCATAGTCTTAGCCACGCACAAGCACAAAAAGGTTGGATTTGTTGAAGGCCCCCCCAAACAAAGAACTAAACGGAATTCCCCAAACCTAATGCAAGGAATCTGGGGGGGATCGAAGCAAGGGGAATGAAAAGCAATTCCATTTCTAAAACATTTTTCACACTTGTCCATCCCTCTATCAAATTTCAGAAAGAGATCGATTGATAGCATGTTGAGCACAATTTTCATCAATTTCTGGGGACACATGTTGATATTCCATCCCATTGAACAATTTATTTAGGCAGTCTACATAGTGTGTATGGATCGTGCTTCAACTTTATTGGCAACAAAATTCACGACCAAGCTTCATGTTCAAAGGAATCAGTAAGGCATATATAGGTAGATACCAAACTTATTTTCCTCATTGTCACTCCCAACTATGTTTCTTTCTCACCGACAAGAAGTCAGCTCGCCCCTCGACGAGAGACTGCTGTCCAACACCAAGGCCTGGTCCAAGGGCCGCAAGGACGGCTGGTCATGTAGCAGAGCCCTTTTGAATTCGTTAAAGGCTGGTGGAGGCCATCGCTAGGTTGGAGGTTGGAGGCCACCACTATTAGGTTGAAAGCCATCGCTATTGGGAGAGGTATCAAAAAATGATAAGCATCAACAAACATATGTTTCCATGGTGCCCGGACCCATGCCAAGGGGATAGGTATCCAAAAAAACCAAAAGCATCCAAACATGATGCATCAAGAACACATAATAAGTATCAACAACACTTTGTTTCCCGGGTCCCTTGGTCGCCTGGTGCCTTGGTTCCCTCGTCCTGCTCCCTTGCTCCCTGGTCCTAGCGTCCTTTGGTGCACTGGTCCTTTGGTCCCTGGGTTGGTCCTCTGGCCCCCAACCAAAGCCAAAGAACTCCTAGAAAGGTGAAACCCCAACACAAACCCAAAGAAATCCTGAAGAAGTGAAGACCCATGCCAAGCCCAAAGAAAGCCTTTTTTTTCATTCCTTTCTTTTGGCGTTTGCAATTGCTTTGCTTTTGTTGTTTATTTTTTGCATTTGTTGAGTTTTTACTGAATCTAACCAAATTGGGTTGTGGCTGTTGAAACATTGTTGAAACCATCTGTGGGAACTCCAAAGAGTCACCCTTTCATGTGAAGCCATCGTGCCAACGCGATGTGCGGGATAGGCATTTGAACGATGCTTGTCGTACGTGTATGGCCTGGAACCTTGAACAAGATCATGCCAGACAAACGGATTGCCGAAGAGGGATGCTTCCCAAAACGACTGTGAATTATATAATTGCAAAACCATCTCAACTGCAGTTGTTTGAGTGTCATAGAGTACAGATCCGCCGGCGGGCCGATCCATACAGTTGCTTGAGGAAGGTACCATTCCAAGGTCGCAGGCCTTTTATAAAAGCCACGTGCCATTTCAATGTGGCAGACCTTTTGTCAGCAGAGGGTAGAATTTAGAGGAGGGAGGTGCAACGATTCTTTTTCGTGATTAGACACCGCTAGCGCAAAACGTTGGTATTTACAGGGAGTCGTGCCCGACGCAGCAACGTGCCTACTACTACTACTACTACTCCTGCTGCTACTACTACTACTACTACTACTAGAAAAACGCTTACCACACCCTCAAGGCGAGAAAAAAGCTGCGCCTGTTTGATCCCTATCATTTTCTGATCCGGCACCCATCGCTATTAGGTTGGGCAGGTAGGTGATAAATTGATACATAGCTTCAACCTGATGGACAGGTTGCGGCTCTCGCAGGTCAGCATTCATGGAACCGACCAGTTTTGACAGCATCATTTGTTATTTGATGGCGAGTGTAGACAGGGTTTGTTACTGTGTGTTTGTTCTGTTTTTTAAATTGCAAATTTGAGCAGGAATTTGTCATTTTTGCTAGAACGCAATCTGCCTGAATCATAGGAGCTGAGACCTGCTTGCAGCAGTTGCAGCTGTAACGGGTGCTTCACCCAGGCAGCAGTTGAATCTGACTCTTGGGGACTCCTGGCGCAAGATGCAATCATGCTTTTTCACCGAAACCACAAGCTATTGATCATATCCAAAAGTCAAATCTACTTGAAGGCACCAAGTCTTGGTAGCTTCGCAGACCACAACATCTACAGTTTGCTCTCATTGGAATCTAGACATCAATGAATGGAGGCTTGCCACAACTCGTGCGTTGCAAAATGGTCTTAACTGAAGCCTGTGGCTGGGAACAAATCACAACTGGACATCGTGTATGCATTTGATGTGTGTGTGTTCCCTCAAAGCAGCACGGAAGTGGACCATGACCTTTTTGTATATCCCATTGCGAAGGAACTTGGTCTTTCTTGGGGATCTTGGGGGCCCATGTGCCACTACCAGGTTTGCTTGAGAGTTGATCATCAGGATTGGTCCGTCAATGCTTCTGCAGTGACAGTAATTGACCGCTTTGCTGCACTTCAACTGTCCAACTATCTGGTGGCGTTTGACTGAGATTCCAATATATGCCTCGGCGGCCAGAAGAAATAGGCCACCTGCGCATGAAGGGAAGTACGGGAGCTTGCGGGCACTTCACACAGTGAGATCGCATGCACGGCAAACCATTAGGAACGAAAAGCAACCTTCAAGCACACTATACTTGAGAGATCTTGAGAGCATTGATTATCCGATCCTTGCTTTGCAATTTTTTTGCATGGACAGTACGTCAGAGACTTTGTGGATGTACTGACCGCTATTGGTCCAGTGTCTAGCAGCGAGCATCCATTTAACGGAACAACGTGGTCAGAACAAGTGTTGTTCAGTCTCTGCAAGCCTT